CCTTTACATAGTCAATGAAACACAGATAGACATTCCTCTGATACTCTCTGCTTTCTGCCAAGATCCATCTAACATTAGCTATAATATTCCTAGTACAACGACCTCTTCTAAACTCCGCCTGCTCATCTGCCAGTTCTCTGTTGACATGTTGCTCCAGTAGTTTCTGGATAATTTTCGCAGGTGTAAAATTAATTGTTTCTTACATTAACACAGCACTCATCAGTTTAAAATACGCTTTCCTGTCCATTAGTCATTCAATGAAATCTGAGTACCCTGAGCTTAGTAGAGTGGGAAGGGGGTGAAAAGATGGAAGACTAGTGCCTCTCTCAAGGAACTAAGTAGTTTAAGCTTCACAATTAAGGAAATTAGAGTTGAACACAGGATGACTACTATAGTACTTTGGGCAAATCGCTTAATCTGTTAAATAATCTGATAAAACAGCTTTTCACCAAGTTAAAAGATAGTAATTGTACTTCATGGGGTTGTGACAATTAAGTGTGAAAAATACACAATAAAGTGTTGAGCACAATGCCTGCCACATCTTAAGGATTCGTTTAGCCATTATGAAGTAATGTGAAATCTCTGGTGGCCGAGTTCATAGGGAGTTGCCCTGCTAGCCCAAAGGACCTACCTCTCTAATGGTTCAAATCTATCAGTGACTCTGCAATAGAAAGATGGGCAATCTCCTTGGAAACCAGTGGAGGGTCAGCTATGAATGGGTTCTGACAGAAAAGCAGTGAGAAAGAGGGAAGTAATGTGGGAGATTTTGGGTAGTATAAATAATTAATGTGCTTGATTGCTAACTGAAGAGTTGGAGGTTTGAAACCACCCAGAGGTGTCTTAAGAAAAAGGCTTAGCAAGTTACCTCTGAAAAACTTATCATTAAAAATCCTATGACACACAGTTCTACTCCAACACACATGGGGCCTCCATTAAGGCAGGATTGTTGTTGTTGTTAGGTGTTCTCCAGTTAACTACAATTTATAGCAAGTATATTTCAACTCTTCCAGTCAGTTGGCCAGACAGCTGTCCTCCACATGTCCTAGCATTGACTGATGAGCATGTCATTTTAAACATGCCATTGGTATTCCTTCCATTCCCGGGGATTTATTTTTGCCAGTGCCTTCAGTGAAGCTTGAAGTTCTTCTTTTTTTACCAATGGCTCTCAATTATACTTTCTGAAATATTTCAGTGTTGCTGTTGTTGTATGCTGTCAAGTTGACTCTGACTCTTAGTGACCCTATGTACAACAGTCCTAAACCCTGATCTATCTTGAGCCAATCTCACTGTCTCTGACATATCTACCCCCGATATCCCAGTCACTGAATCAATCCATCTCATCCAGGATTCTTCCTTTCCTGAGCTGTCTTTCGACACTTCCAAGCCTGATGTCCCTCTCTAGTGTTTTTTTTAGTACAGTGATTCTGTGTATTCCTTCCATCTTCTTTTGCTGTTTCCTGCATAATTCAAGATTTTGCCTATAGCATCTCTATATATTGCAATGCGAGCCTTAAATTTGTTTTTCAGTTCTTTTAGCTTGAGAAATACTGAGTGAATTCTTCCCTTTTTATTTTCCAATTCTAGGTCTCTGCACATTCCATTATAATACTTTGCTTTGTCTTTTCAAGCTTCCCTTTGAAATCTTGAAATCTCTTTAGCTCTTTTACTTCAACATCACTTTCCTTTGTTTGGCTTCTCAATCCTCTAGTACAATTTGCAGGGGCTCTTCTGACATCTATTTTGTTTTTTCCCTTTCTTCTCTGTGTCTGTAGTAATCTTTTGCTATCTTCATGGATGATATCCTTGATGCCATCCTATAACTCATCTAATCTTGGATCATTGGTGCTTAATGTTTCAAACCTATACATAAGATGACTTCTAAATTCAAGTGGGATAGACTCAAGATCATATTTTAGTGCTTGAGAACTTATTTAAATTTTCTTCAGCCTCAAAGTGAGCTTGCATATAAGTAATTGATGATTTTTCCACAGTCAGCATCTGGCCTTGTTTTGACTGCTGATATTGAGCTTCTCCAGTTATTCATTCCACAGTTATAGTCAGTCTGATTCCTATGCTGTTCATATAGTGATGCTCATTGTGTTTTATTTGTAATGAAATCATCTGATCAAATGACTCTAAGGGATCCATATTTGTTCCCATTCTACGAATTTAGAAATTATTTAACAATATCATTAATATTACAAGCAAACAAAATACTACTAAAGATCATTTTAAAATTACTAGAACAGTACATAGACAGAGAACTGCCAGAATTTCAAGCTGGATTTAGAAGAAGCTGTTGTTGCTATGTGCCATAGAGTCTCCTGTGACTCATAGCAACCCTATGTATGATTTGGAGAGGGCTGTCTGGCCAATTGACTGGAAAATATCCATATTTGTTTCCATTGCTAAGAAAGGTGACCCAACAGAATGTGGAAATTATGGAAGAATATCATATGCAAGCAAAATATTTCTGAAAATCATCCAAAACCAGCCAGAACAGTACCTTAAAAGGGAACTGTCAGAAGTCCAGGCTGGGTTTAGAAGAGGCTGTCATTCTTCCAGGGATATCATTGCTGATGTCAGATGAATCCTGGCTGAAAACAGAGAATACCAGAAGAATATTTATTTATGTTTTATTGACTATGCAAAAGCATTTGATTGTGTGGATAATAACAAACCATGGTTAACACTGAGAAGAATGGGAATCTCAGAACACAAATGCTCATGTGAAATCTATACCTAGGTCAACAAGCTTTTGTGTGAATGGAGCAAGGGCACACTGTATGGTTAAAATACGGAATGCTAAGTGTCAGGGACATATCCTTGCTTCATAACTATTCAATCTGTATGCTGAGCAAATAATGAAGCTGAACTCCATGAAGAGGAATGCGGCATCAAGATCAAAGGAAGACTCATCAACAACTTGCATTTTGCAGATAACACAGCTTTTTGCTGAAAGTGAAGAGGGCTTGAAATACTTGCTGCAGAGGATCAAGGACTACAGCCTTCAATATGGATTACATCTCAGCATCAAGAAAACAAAGGTCTTTACCACTATGCCAAGAGGTAACATCATGATAGATGGAAAAAAGATTGAAATTGTCAATGATTTCACCAACAATCAACATCCTTGGACCAGCAGTCAGATGAGGAGACATAAAGCATGGAGAAATCTGGTGTCAGGGACCTCTCCAAAATATTGAAAAGCAATTATGTCAGTTTGAAGACTAAGAACCTGATTCAGGCATGGTCTTTTCAATCATTTGCTGTGCTGCTGAGAGAGCTGGATAATCAATAAAGATGACAAAAGAAGAATTGATGCCTTTGAGTTTTCATGTTGAAGCACTTAATATTCTATTGTTGTTATATGCCATCAAGTCGCTTGTGACTCATAGCGACTCTATGTACAACAACACTGAAACCTGCTCTATGCTCTGCCAACTTTACTATCTCTTACACACCTACCCTCATTATCCCAGTCACTGTACCAATCCATCTCATCGATAGTCTCCCTCTTTCTCCATCCCTCCACCCTTTCATATAGATTGCCAAAACCCCCAAACAGATATGTCTTGGAAAATGCTCAACCAGAGTGCTCTTTGGAGTCAATGATGGTAACACTTAGTTTCACATACTTTGTTGTGCACGTTGCTAGGATTCCTTGGAAAGGGACATCATGCTTGGAAAAATAGAGGGTCAACTAAAGAGCAGAAGACCTTTAGACAGATGGATTGACACAGTAACTGCAACAATGAGCTCAAATATGTTAGAGATTATGAGGATGGCACAGAATAGGACAGGGTTCATATCTGTAGTTCATAGGGTTGATGTGAATCATATTCGACTTGGGGACACATAACAGCAACAACATATAAGCAGCATCAAGAAAACAAAAATCATCACTAGGCCAAAAGGTAGAAAAGAAAAGAAGGAGAAAAGAATAAAATTGTTAACGGTTTCATTTTACTTGGATCCATTAACACCTTTGGTACCTGCAGTCAAGAAATTTAAAAAAAAATGGTTTTTGGGGGACAATCTCTTGTCAAGGACCTTCTAAAACTCAAGGATGGCAGTTTAAAGACTAAAGTGTACCTGATCTAAAACATAGTATTTTCAGTTGCTTCCAATGCATGTGAAAGTTGGACAATGACTAAGGATTTCAGAAGACTCAATGCCTTTACAGTGTTGGAGAAGAGTACTGAGTATCTCATGGTCTGCCAAAAAAAAAACCCATGTCTGTCTCAGAGAAGTACAACCCGAGTGCTCCTTACAGGCAAGGATGGTGAAATTATAGTCTCCTATACTTTGGGCGTTTTGTCAGGAGGATCTAATCCTTGGAAAAAAGATCTCAAAAGGCCAGCAAAATAAAAATATCAACTAGATGAATTGACACAGCTACTAGAAAAATGTACTCGAGCAGATCAGAAATGGTGAGGATGGCGCGGGTAAGATAGGGCAAGAAGGTTCATAAATAAGGTCTCTAGGAGTCGTGGTCGACAACTAACAACATCTGCATAGAATTGCTCTGTGTAATAAGTGTGATACAAAAGCCTAAACGCTATGCAAACCATACAGTGCTTTATAAAAGTTGGTTACTTGCAACTCCCGTCTCCTTTTCTTTTTATTCTCTCCTGGGTTTCTGACTCCTACCCAATTGTTTGAATGGTACTAAAAGGCCCTAACTCCAATCAGAATGCTTATATGCTGGTGTTCCCGCCGGTCACGCCCACACCAACCAATCAGATGTCATGGAGAATGGCAAAGTACCGCCTCCTGGGAGTCGGCTCTAATGAAGTTTTCCCTTTACTTAGGTCTTCCAGAATCTTTCTTCCTTCTCACCCCAGCTTTCCGACCTTTCTCATCTTCCTCCCAACCGCCACAATCCAGGCACCCCAAGTTGAAAGGCAAGGACCGGAAGTGTGTGAGGCAGCCGCCGGTTCCCGGTCAATCGGCACCGGAAGTAGCTGTTGCTAGAGAAGGGTCTCCCAGGTTTTGCTATGGCGGCCATCCCCCCAGACTCCTGGCAGCCGCCCAACGTATACTTGGAGACCAGGTGAGGGGTTTCGGGTCCCTGGGGCTGGGCCAACGGAGGCGATACGGAGCCCTTGCCGCACCAAGGGGTTCGGTTCTCGGGGCTCCCCCGGGTACCCAGACTCCACGTGGAGCGGCGGCCGGGGGGCGGCTTGAGGGCGGAGTGGGGCCCCCCAGAGCCCGCACCCGCGCTCCGCACCCACTCACGCTGAGACCTCGGGGACAGCGTCATGACTGCCCTTCCTTTGTGCACTCCGTTCATTCATTCAGCACGCGTGGATTCTGGATTGGAGTACACGTAGGTGGATGAACTGCACACCGTCCCGCCCTTCAGAACTCACAGTGTACTGAAAGAGACAGGCGTGTAATTAATTACGTGAGAAGTCCTACAGCTAGTGTAAGAACACAGGGAAAAGCACTTCCCCCCGCCACCTACCCCCTAGTATCATAGAGTGGTCAACAATACGGTTAAACACCAAGGAACTAGTCCATGCTCCTGATGTGTGTACCTTTAGTTTAATTGTAGCCCATCAGTCAGCTCTATCCCCTTATATGTTAGCGGAAGAAATGCCAGGAATTACAGGTTAAATGGCCTGACCGAAGTCACATAGCAAAGGGGAAATGTCTTTGGGAACCCTGACCGTCAGACAGCCTCGCATGCTAGCTGCTTTGGGAAAAACTCATCGTGAGCTTTCCAGAGTAGGACATGAGATCCTGTACAAAAACTTTTAAGTGTCTTCTTGCTGTTACAGTTTAAAGTTTATATGTCCTACGTTGACCATGGTGAAAGCTCTGGTGGCCTAGTCAGAAGGGAATTTTGCTGCTGATTTAAAGGCCAGTTCAAATCCACCCTCAAGAAAGATCTGAAAACTTGCTGAAGGATCAGCTATAAATTGGTTCAGATTTGATGGCAGTGAGAGAGAATTTGCTATTCAAGATGATTTTTTTCACCTGTTCCATGTGCTATTCGTGTGTCAGCAGCTGGGGCCCAACCATGATCTATGCTTTCTGTTCTTAACTGAGCAGTGTTCCACACTAGTACAGCATTCTCAGTCCCTCTGAGAATGTAATTTGTACATGGGGTTCTTCTTGGCTGGCCATCTTCCTTAAGTTCTTATATGGCAAAATTTTCATTCTTTCAGGCCCTAACTTGAAAATTAATACTGAAATCCCCAATTAACATATTTAAAAAAATGTTTATACAGTTTTTGTTTACAAAGTTCAAATACATTGTTTTTCACACAAGATCTTTCCCATTTCCTTCACTCCCATCAAACTGTGCAATCCTTTGGCTAACACCCCCCCTCCTGGCCCATCCTCACCCCTCTGTTCCCCTCTCCACCTTGGATCTTCCTCATTCTACAATAATGGTTTTGTCCTTATGGGACAAAATACTCTCCAAGTCCTTCCAACATTAGGTCGTAATTTACAAAATCATTGCTCCTGCATGCTGCATAGTAGAACGTATGTACCACAGCTTCTCAATCCATGTTTGTAGTTGGACATCTGTGTTGTTTCCATGTTGTTGCGATGGTGAATAACACTGCTGTAAACAAAAATGAAGTGGGAGGCATAGCACTTCCTGACCTCAAAACCTACTACACAGCAGTAGTCCCCTAAACAGCATGGTACTAATACAGTGACAGGCACATAGACCAGTGGAACAGAATTGAGAACCTATAAATAGACCCAGCTGTCTATGGTCAACTGATACTCGACAAGGAAATAAAACCTGTCAAATGGGGAAATGATAGCCTCTTCAAATGGTGCTGGCAAAATATATTTTTATTACAAAACAAAAACATAAAATCCAAATAGAAGTGTATAAGCAGTGTTAATAGTTTGATTTCATATCTTTTTCTGTATACATATATGTCTCTAAAGTTGGTTGTGTTTGGTTTCTTTTTAAACAAAAAAGAGTCGTACAGTCAGCCTGGTTATAATTTGTGCTTTCACCTAGTATGTTTTTGTTGTTGTTAGGTGCTGTCAAATCTGCTCGGTCTCACAGTGACCCCAAAATACAACAGAACAAAACCCTATCATAGTATCATTGGATGTTAGGTCAGCAATCCAGATCTTCCAGCAGCGTCTCAGGAGAAAAATGAAGCAATTTGCTCCTGTAAGATTTACAGCCTCAGAAGTCCAATGGAAGGTCATCATAAGTTGGAAGCATCTCAGTGGCAGTTTGATTTGGTTATACTGTGTTGTTATTTACCTTCCACTCAGAACTAACTGATAACTGACCCTCCAGTGGATTTTCAGAAGCAGTACAGTGCATGGGAGTAGACAGCCCATCTTTCTCCCATGGAGTAGCTAGTGGATTTGAAATGTATGCCTTCGGGCTGGCCATGCCACTCCTTACCACTAGGTCACCAGAACTTGCTTACTTATACTAGGAAAGAGACCGAAAAAATAAAAGAAAGGGACTGGAGAAAAAAAATTCATGCTTGGTAGGGAGTCGTGAATAAAGAGGAAGACTCAAGAAGATGCCTCTGATGCCTGTCTCTAGTGTACTCAGTGCCTACCCTAACCCAGAAATGTATGCATATATGAGTAAATATGAACTCCTGATGTTTTAATGGCCTTATTATTTTTTTTTTTAAATTTCTTTTCAGTTTTATTTTTTTTGTGTGTGTTTGTACCGTCAAATTGGGTCTTACTGGTACAGGAGGAGATTGCCCCTCCTTCTCCAGCAGAGCATCTGGTAGATTTGAACTGTAATCACTTGGCCAACTGATTGGAAGAGATCTATATTTGTTTCTATCCCAAAGAAAGGTGACCCAACAGAGTGTGGAAACTATAGAACAATCTCACTGATTTCACATGCAAGCAAGATTTTACTGAAGATTATCCAAAAACGACTGGAACAGCACATCAGCAGAGAACTACCAGAAGTCCAGGCTGGGTTTAGAAGGGGTCGTGGTACTAGGGATATTGTAGCTGATGTTAGATGGATCTTACCTGAAAGCAGAGAATACCAGCAGAATGTCTATCTGTGTTTCATTGACTATGCAAAGGCATTTGACTGTGTGGATCATAACAAACTGTGGCTGGCTCTGAGAAGAATGGGAATCCCAGAACACTTGATCATGCTAATGCAAAACCTATACTTGGACCAGGAGGCAGTCGTCAGAACAGAGCAAGGGAACACTGCATGGTTCAAAATTGGGAAGGGCGTACACCAGGGATGCATCCTATCTCCATACCTTTTCAACCTATATGCAGAACAGATTGTCCAGGAGGCTGGGCTCTATGAGGAGAAATGTGGGGTCACGATTGGTGGACGATTTATCAACAATCTGCATTATGCAGATGACACAACCCTGCTTGCTGAAACTGAAGAGGACCTGAAACACCTGCTGCAGAGGGTCAAGGACTGCAGCCTCCAATATGGATTGAGGCTCAATGTCAAGAAGACAAAGATTCTCACCACTGGATCAATTGGCAGCATCAGGATGGATGGTGAAGAGATTGAGATTGTATACAGCTTTAGTTTGCTTGGCTCCACAGTCAATACTCTTGGCACCAGTAGCCAGAAAATTAAAAGACTCATTGCCATGGGAAAGTCGGCTGTTAGGGACCTCTCCAAAATACTGAAGAGCAATGGTGTCTCTCTGGAGACTAAGGTGCGTCTGATACAGGCCATGGTCTTCGCAATCACTTGCTATGCATCAGAGAGTTGGACAATGACCAAAGAGGATAGAAGGAGAATTGATGCCTTTGAGCTGTGGTGCTGGAGAAGAGTATTGAGAATACCATGGACTGCTAGGAAAACAAACAGATTTGTCCTGGAAAGGGTTAAACCGGGTGCTCCTTGGAGGCAAGGATTCTGAGGCTCCGTCTAAAATACTTTGGACAAGTTGTGAGGAGAGACCCGTCCTTGGAGAAGGACATCATGCTTTGGAGTGTGGAGGGACGGCTCAGGAGGGGAAGGCCTTCTATGAGGTGGATTGATTCAGTGACTGGAATAATCGGGATGGGAGTGGTGGAGACAGTGCAATTGGCACAGGACAGAGCAGTTTAGGGCTGTTGTACATAGGGTTGCTATGAGTCGCAAGTGACTCGAGGGCACATAACAACAACAACAACCACCTCTGGATTGCAGTGCAGCTTCTTGCCACTAGGCCACCAGAGCTCCCTAATGGCCTTATTATTTTAAAATCCCATGGGATTACCATCCAGCCCCCAGTTTAGTGGCTAATGACCAATGATTTCTATGTCAGTTATTAGGATATTGAGCTGCCTTCATTTGTGTCTATTTAAAAGCAATACCAAAAACTATGTGTCTTACTCAAAGATGATCTTTCTGTTTATATTCATTATAATTGGTTGTTTTCGTTTGCTTAGCATGAAATCCAGTGGTTGCTATATTTTACATTTTGTAAGCTTGAAAATGAACATCTCTGGAGTCATCCTATGGTATTCTTGTCTCCTGTAGTTTTGTTACTAACAGGAGCTGTGCCCTTCTCTCCCCCTACAGCATGGGGATCATTGTGCTGGAGCTGTACTGGAAGCATGCTCCGAAGACCTGTAAGAACTTTGCTGAGTTGGCCCGGCGGGGTTATTACAATGGCACCAAATTTCACAGGATCATCAAAGACTTCATGATCCAGGGAGGTGACCCCACAGGGACAGGTACAGTTAAGCTGACATTTCGTTTCTGAGCTCTCACTCTGTCATAACTGGTGGATAAAGCAGCCAGAGTGTTCTTATGTACTTAGCAGGGACTGGGTTGGTGACTGTTGTTCCTGTACTCATCAGCCTGTACCCCTTTCCACATACCAGTGCTAGTTGTCATGAAGTCTGTTCCCATTCATGGTGACACCATTAGTGTCACTGTAGAATGTGCTCCACAGAGTTTTCAGTGGCTGATTGAAAGACAGTTCTGGGTGGATTTGAACCGCTACCTTTCTCTTCGCTGCTAAGTGTGTTCATGTAATACTGACCAGAAATCATCTCTGAACCCTAGACTCATAACTTCCAGGTATTGCTCACTAAAAGGAATTAATATTTGTCTGATTGTATTAATTTTTCAGGGATCCTAATAACCTATGGAGAAAGATGGGCAGCCTCCTTTTGTGTGATTGACAGCTTGTGAAAGCCCACTGGAGAGTCAGACATGAGTTTGTTCCAACTCCATGGCATATAACAGTGATCTCCATTCTAGAATAAATGGTTGGATTTGGTGGGATAATCAAGTGCTAAGAACATGGATCTCATGGGATTTGCTTTCAGATTGGATGTGGGATGTGAAAGAAAGAAGTGGTCAAGAATGCTTTCATAGTTTTTGGAAGAAAAGAAAAATTTTTATTGGTTTTGGACATGTTATCTTTTAAATACTTGTTTGGATAATCAAGTATTGATGTTGAATAGGCCGGATATGGAATTTTAGGAAAGGCCTGGATGAAGATAGAATGGTGGGCGTTTGGATGGGACGTACTTATAAAACTGGTAGGTGCTGATGGATAATAACGGTTGTTTCTTTTTTTTTCCGGGCGCCTTTGTGCTTCATATCTCCATCTGATGTTGACTTTTGGCTGCCATCATTCTAGACAGTTTTCTATTCCATATCTAAATAAAAGGAGGGATAGAACTAGCTAGATAGAAGTAATTTCAGAGAGAATAGGCTATATCATGAATACTGTTTTGCTTATGTGTAACAGACAAATTAATTTTCTGCTGTGAAAGATGAGGAATTAGTATTTAAATTTCTGCCCATTCGTAGCTTCCCTTCCTCCACTCCAATTCCCCCCCCCTTTTGTTTATTTTTAATGGAAAAGAAGATATAAATGCGGTTCTGAGGGAAATACTTAGTTGACCCTTGAACAGCGTAGGGGCTTGTTGTTGTTGCTGCTCCACTTCCTTTTTGCTATTCGTTTTATTTTTGGTCAGAGTTTATAATTTCTTCTTTATTCTGCACTCCTAATTGTTTTAGCTACAGTATGGATTCTGCATTGTGGTGGGTTCTGTGCTCACCTAGACAGCATATGTACTCCCAGACTGAAGGGATGTGTTTTTTAATGTTTTAACGTTGAAAATGTGTCCCTGTTACCTTTGTACTCGACACAAACATAACTGGGTATACTCTTCTAGGGCCACATTCTTTCCTTTGTATCTTTTATCTTTTTCATGACTCTCCATTTCTTTTTATATAATCATCGATTTATCTGTGGCTTTGAAGAATTCTAAGGCCAGTTTTTACCCCTTTTAATTCAGGAAGAAGTTTTTTCCTCTTACATTTTCTGAATATTTTTTCTGTCCTCTTTGGTAGAATGTGTGTTTTGAGGAAGTCAGTTATCCTTTTTTTCTGCAGCTTTGTCTTCCATATCTGCCACATTTCCCTTGACTGAGTGAGATGGGTGTTTTCCTTTTCTCCCAGCATCCACTGGAATCATCTCAGACCGTTGCTCTGTGCCATCTTTAATTTTCAGTCACATCTCTTTTGGTTGTTGGTGTTCTTTTTTTCTGTATTAGCACTAAATTTGTGCCATCTTGTTTTCAGTTTGTTTCCTTAGCTCTGCAGTCTTTACGCCAAATTCCATTGGTTTCTTTTTCTTCAGTGAGCTCTTGTTTTATTGGATTCTTATTTCTGCTGAATTCATGTGAAGCTCGAGACAACCATGGACAAACTACCTCTTGGCTCTCTTTTCTCCCAGACCAAGTTCCTGAGGTATTTTTTCTTTTCCTTCTCTCACTTTACATCCTTTGTTTTTGTGTTCTGTTATGTCTGTATTATATTTTGTGCCATTTCTTTTTCTTTCCCATGTGTACCTGTTTCAGGCTATGATCTTTTCAGTCAGTTGCTTTACATCTGAAAGCTGGGCATTGAGCAAGGATGACAGAAGAAGAATGAATGCCTTTGACTTGTGGTGTTGGAGAAGAGTACTGCCTATCCCAAGGGCTGCCAAAAGAACAAACAAATAAGTTTTGCAGAAAGTGCAACCAGAGTGCTTTTTGGAGGCAAGGATGGCAAAGCTTTGTCTCACATACTTGGGGTTGTTAGGATGGTCTAGTCCTTGCAAAAGGCATCATGCAAGGAAAAGGTGGAGGGTCAAAAAAGAGAGAGGAAGACTTTCAATAACATGAATCAACGCAGTGACTCTAACAGTGGGCTTGGGTATATCAGAGATAATAAGGAGGGCACAGGATAGGACAGGGTTCAGATGTGTTGTTCTTAGGGTCACTGTGGGTTGTACTTTACTCAGTGGCACCTAACAAGAATGGCAGCATGTATATTGTCCCATCCTTATTTGCTCATTCACACTGTAAGTGGGTTTTTGTTGATATACTTCCCAGGTATCTGAGACTGGCTGTCTTACTGAAATGCTAGGCTGCTGTCTGTCCTTTTCACTCAAGTTTTAAAAGAGAGGGTAAGAAGGAGAGCACTATGCTCAGTAAGCCTCCTGGAGAAGAATTAGCCTCTTCCCTGTCTCCAAAGACTCCATTAAAAGCCCTGTCCCAGGGTCCCCTCCCCCCACCATGAGTGTTCCTCTCCCCTAACCCAGGCTCTAAGAATCTCCTCATTTGACCCAATGTTTCAGAAGGTAGCCTCACCGGTCACTCTTGAGCACCTGGGAATGGGAGCTGCCTTCTCTCAAGGACTATTCCTTAGTATTTTTAGGGCTGCCTACTTACTTTGGGCATGTTGTTTGGAGGGGCTGGTCCTTGAAAAAAAGACATCATGCTGGGAAAGTTGGAGAATTAGAGGAAGAAAACATCCTCAATGATGTGGATCAGTGACAATGGGCTTGTGTATATCAGAGGTGGTGAACATGGTTCAGATGTGTTGTTGCTCTGTTAGCTTCTCAAAACTGAAGAGAATCAAAAACATGAGCTCTAGTGGCCTAGTGGTAAGAAACTGTGCTGCAATGTGAACAGCATCAGAAAATGTTTAGGGTCCCACTCCTTTTCCGATTACTACTTCCAGGCAGTGTGGGCAGCATCTTCCAGGGGTTTTTTGTTTTGTTTTTTGTGTTGGGTTTTTTGTTATTTGTTTGTTTTTACTGACTCTTCAGAATTTTTATAACATGTTTACTTACCCTAATTTTGTTTGGTTAATGTTGGTAAATTTTTTACTTTTTAATTTGCAGGGTTTTTTTCCCTTCTTCAGGTATTAGGAAAAGTAGAGTCTAATGCTACTTTTCAACTTTTCTTTATTTCAAAGAATCTTATCCTTCTGTGTCCTTCTATCCTGTTTTCCTCTTTCTCTATCTCGTTTCTAAAAATTCTTAATTTATAACACCAGTGAACTGAGAAAGTCTATGATTGGTATTCAAGAATTGGAAGTAACCCAAATGTGAGTCGCTTGTGGTGGAGTTTCTGCATTTCTTCAGGCAGTTCACCATACTTCATAATGTCACATTTCCATGATATAATTTTAATGAAATTGAATCACTCAGAAGATTCCCAGATAATTGCATCTAGTCCTAAGTACAATGAATAAATTGAGCTAAGAGGACTGGCCAGTTTGTAGTAGGCAGCAAATGGGAGGTCAGCCTCCTGGACTAGTCTGGTCTGATTCTGGTCTGCTTGGTGATAAAATAACAACCAGGCTTTGAATTTGTTCAGTCTCGTTTGATGTGCTCTAAAGAATTTGCCTTTTAAGCTGCACTGCAATCCCAAAGCTGTGTGGCTTGAATCCACCAGTTGCTGTCCTGGAGAAGGAGGAGCAATTTCCTCCTGTGCCAGTCAGATCTGATTTGATGGTACACCAAATTAAAAAAAGAAAAGAATTTGCCATTTCACCTTAGATACACTGAATCAGAATCTACATTTGCATAGGATGCCCAGGTTATTAAGGTGCAAATTCTACTTCAATGTATCCGAGGTGAAAAGGCATGTTTTTCAGCTGGAGTTAGAACTGGAATGAACAGGTTCAGTGCCCTGGATAACAAATTCTTTGCTAAACATACTCAGATGGGCAGTATGTGTCATCCTGGGCTCTTCAAGTAGATGTACCTTTTTTTTTTTTTTCATTTTTCCAGTAAGTCTTTATTATTAGTTAAGTCACAATTTAAGATTCCGGCAGAGAGGTAAGGTGGGCCAGTTCAGATCTTCCCAGGGAATGTGCCTTCTGCCCTGCGGTCATCCCAGGCTGACACCCAGGACAGGGGGCAGAGGGACTTGTATACGCGCCGATACCATTCACACCAGGAGACATCACCACCTTTGGCAGTCATTGCCTTCTCGCAGCGGTGGAAATCCAGGTAGTTTTGCCAGCAGTTCTTGGTTTGGTTCTGGTTGGGAAAGCGGCTATCAAAAGGGGCAGTTCGGTAGTTCTTGATTTTGGTCTTAATGCCTTCCGCCATGGTGGTGATTTCTAAAGACTTCCCTCAAAGCAGCAGCAGCTCAATGTGACCCTCAGAAGAGATGTCTGTGCGGGAGATGTACCATTTTTATCTCTGTTGTTGTTTGCCTTCCAGTTGATTCCAACTCATAGCAACCGTATGTGCAACAGCTCTGAACCTCACTCTATCTTGAGCCAGTTTCACTATCTCTACCCTCATTACCCCAGTCACTGAGTCAATCCATCTCATCCAGGGTTTTCCTCTCTTGTGCTGCCCCATGCTAAGAACTGGTCCCTCCTTGCAATTATGCCCCGAGTATATCAGACGGAGCTTCAAAATCCTAGCCTC